CGCACACACACACACACGACACGGCACGCCACGCAGCACTCACACCACACACACACACACACACACACACACATAACAACTTGCAGCCGTCTCTCGTTGGGGTTTATCTCTTAAATTTTCGCCTTACAGCTGTGCGCGGCAGTGCTTGGTTGCCTTGGTTGTTTATACACCGCCAATGCCGCACATGGGCTTTGGTGTGTGCGCATTGCGGATTTGGCGATCTCTAAATTTGGTTGCGGCGTTTCCTATGAATGCCGAAGTTTCTTCAGGCACATAACTTTTTAGAAAATGCTCCAAAAAGTCACTTTACCTTCGAAAAATCGCGTTCTAACGTAGCGGAATCACACACACACACACACACACACACACACACACACACACACTGCCAGCACGCTCACCTCTTGACGTAGATGAAGACGACGATGAGGACGACAATGACGACGATGAGGAGAGAAGCCAGTGTGATGACGGCGACCAGCCACGGCACGAGTCCGCTGTCAACGTCCTGAAACAAACGCCAGCCGTTACTTACTAGCAACGAATATGCAACCATAGAAATCGCAGCCCAATAAATGTTTATTGGACTGCGATTTCTATGTATGCAACCAGCTACTCATCTGTTAGGGCAAGCAACGTCTCTTACAGCGAGAATAGAATCCAGCGTGACTGATCTACAGGTAGTCATCGACATAGCTTAGTTATACAGTACAATAAATATAAATACAATAACAAACACATTGCCTTTTCATAGTTTCACAGTGGACGAGCAGGTAGCCTTACAATTCGATGTGACTCATCTATAGTCATGGACGTAAGTTAGTTATACAGTACGATAAATATAAATGCAATAACAAACACATTGCCTTTTCAGTTTCACAGTGGACGAGCAGGTAGCCTTACAATATTTACCTAGGTATCTAGATCAAAATGAATATAATAATGGTTTCACGCGGTGTGTGTTTATTTACCTATAAACAGCGTTCCCTGCTTTTATCAGGCAACGAATAATTGGGCGCATCGCTTCAACGACGTATGTCTTTGAAAAACAATCCTTGCACACGTGTTCACCGCTTAATCGGGATCATCGCTTAATCGTGACTTTATGGTTCATGACCTTTCCCAATAAAGTGGGGAAAACTCTACTAGGAATTTCCCACTGCCGCTCAAATTGCGGCCAATGGCGTGATATTTATGAACCGACATGCGAGTTTCTGCTTCAGCACAATTAATAACATGGTAATTACAGCGCTCCCTGAGAATCCCTCCAACATCCGTATTTTTTATCGAAAGTGGCTTAGGCGAAATGTCACGTGTAAAGCGCATGCACGTACGCATACGCTGCTTCTTAGAGGTATCCAATTTAGAGGATATGCGATACTAGTACTTCATAAGACGTTACAGTAGCGTGTACTGGAGGTATTTCTCCACCTGAGAGCTAGCCTTCTGCTGAGAATGCGCGTGTACCCATCTCCACATGCAACGTTAAGTATAACCACGCACAAATCGTTCTTGCGGCATGGCACAAAACCACGGTTCTGTCACTGGCTCATTTGATCGTATCGTAATTTGACCGCCATGATAAATAGAACTATTTGCGATATCGCGAGATGCTTTCATTCTAGCACGTCGTGTGGCGTACGTCACACGTTCTGCTCCAAAACGTATATAAGATGGGAATACAGTGGCGATGTATCGTATAGGTAGGTGACGTTATGCGCCAAATGCAACTAATTGCAACACAGTTCTTGTTCGTCAAGCTACTTCACTTGGTTGACACGCTGTAATGAACTGTACGTCGGCTGAGAGCAGCTGATGCAACAGGAGAAGTGGCAGTTAGCTAACATCAGGGTCATACTCCATTAGGAATGTTCCCAACTTTAATGTCATTAATGGTCATAATAACATATATATACATATATATATTGGTCATATATTAGCTTGTGGTTTAACGTCATTTAGGTTAGGGTTAGGATTATCAATCATTAATCATTAATCATTAATCATTAATGATATCAAAGTTGGGAACACTCCTAATGGAGCATTAGCCTAACATCACATCACGTCTCTCGCGTTCTCTCCTGCCCCTCTCTATGTCTGTCCGTCTGCCTGTTTTTACCTGGTCATCACCATTATCGATGACTGCGGTTGCGGTCACCATTATCAGTGTCGTATTTAGTCCTGTCGCTATGATGCTTTCCACGATACTTGCTTGGCTGGAACGTACACAGAAAAGAAGACGGTGAGGGCCACAATATTGGGGTTAACACATATTCTGTGACAGTTAGAGGGCAGATGTTTTAAGGGTAAGGGCACGTTACAGAATGAATTTGTATGGGAATCACTAGAGCCAATGATGCGCTAGTAGTCAGGGGGAGAATGTAGAATGGTCGAGTAGAATAATCACGAATTATCCACCAAAGTCTGCTGGTTGCATTATGAAGCTTATGTCAGATATACTACCTCATATGTACCCCATACCATACTTTTGCTATCATGCGTCCCCTCTGACCACGTCACCACCCATACCTCCCTTCCACTGTCTTCCCTGCACCACCTCCTTCCCCTCCATCATCTTCTATGCTTATACCAGCCCATCTCTCATTACCCCCACCAGCCTACCACCCCCCGCTCTATAGCTCCCCTCCCACGCATTCTCCCCCTTCCACACCACCCGCCCCCCTCCCGCACCGCCCCTCCTTCTCCCACCTTTCCCACTACTCACATGTCGCCGTTGCTAAGAATCTGCAGCAGCAAGGTCTGCCTCAGGAGCACCACCGCGTCCACGTCAAACACCGCCTCTCGCTTCCTGCGTCTGCCGGCAGCTGCCAGGGGGCGACACAGCTCATTGTCGCGCGGGATTCCAGCGAGCACGATCACCTGTAGGTCATCACCGACCTGCTGCAGTGCATCATGGTCGATGTAGATGTGTCCAAGGTCGGAGATACTCAGCGATGCAGCCGCTCCCCTACCGACGATCGCATGGCGAAGGTAACGATCACAGGCAATTCCTCTCCATTATCAGGATATTTTACTGAGAGGCATTGATTGTTTTTTTAAAGTAAGCAACGTGATGAGCAAAACGGCAGCTTGTACCTATAAGCACTATGGTGCAAGGTCTGACAAGGCATCGGTGATCTGTCTTTGATCATTTTCATCATCACCATTATTATAATTATCATTATTATCCTGAGGTTGAGTGAGCACGAGTAAGCAGCATCTACATAGCTGCATTTGATTACTCAAAGCCAACGTGTGTCAATATAAAACACTCTTGTATGCAGCCTGAAGTATGCGCACAGGGAAGAGGGCAGTACAGACAGATCATATGCACAAGTAAGCCATTTTCAGCTTTATACACCCAACGGAACCGATAAAGGTTACCATGGATCAAAAACTAGTTGTCGACTGCTGACATTATGGCTCTATGCCACTGAGTGATATGCTTTTTATATCTTACAGACACGGGGTAGTGGCAATGAGACTGCGTTACATAGAGATGCCTCTCATTCTGTCTGTCCCAGTCCCCCACCCCACGATGACTTTCTCCATGGACTTACGGGTAAGGCTGATATCCAGGCAGCTGACTGCAGCACTCATCATATGTACTCTCGTCCCGTAGACAGTATTCATTCCAGGCGTCTGCAATGCTTGTCCGGAGCGAGTGGTCGACTGCCGGCGTAAGCTGAAACACAGGAGAATATGCCGCAAGGATGCAAGTTGGGACCTTTCTGAGATGCTAACGATTAAGAAAATGAAGAAGAAGAACAAGAAGAAGATGAAGAGGAGGTGAAAAAATTAGATGATGTCGATAAAGAACAGGAAACAATAAAAAAACAGATGGAGAACAAGTAACTAAAATAGAAAAAGATGATAATGTCGATGAATAAGATGACGCAGAGAAGGAGGAGAAGGAGGAGGAGGAGGAGGAGGAGGAAGAGGAAAAGGAAGATCTCCTAAAAATATCATGACTACCTGATATATTGCCATATTAAACAGCAACAGAGTCACTCCAAACTCAAGGGATGACTCTGAAACTGCAACAGAACAAAATAGTTTTGATGTACTACAATTGCAGAATAACACACGTTCATTGCCAGTGTCACGAGAGTACAAGCTCAAACTGAAATGCTGGCGTTGTATTCTATATAATAACATAATTTTACCTTGTGTGCAAAAAACTTTAAGAATAACTTCAGTAAAAGCTAGCACGTCAGACATGC